AAACTGACAAAAATCACTACTCAATTTATAAAAACAACCACTTTGATACTAATTATATGTGCCTATATGGCAGGATTGTGTTTTTACGTGTTTAAGGTGACTTCAGTTTATGGACATCACTGGACAGCTTCTCAACATTGGGCATATAAGATCTAACTTTAATCTTGTGTGCTGTTTTTTTTTTTTTTTCACAAATTTTTATTTAAAAAATATGTTTTCCAACATTTTGAAATTTAGTCTGTTATGCTTTTTTGACACAACTTCTCCTGTTGTAAAAAAAATCTGCAGTAAACAATAATTTATAAATAATTATAAATATATATTATAAATATGATAAATAATTTATAAAAACCAACAGTAATTTGTAGAAAGGTAATACACGCACCAACACGGGGTTTTATCGATAGGTTTGATGCATGCGCCGATGCATCGGTGTTGTCAGACCCATCACTAATGCTTACTAAGTGATATATTGTGTTTATTTTCTCTTACCAGGATAAGTCTTACATACTATCTGAGTGAACATCAAAGACTTAAGATTTTATTGGTTATGTTTTCAGATATAGAGATTGAATATCAGGACTTGCTGGAAGCCTGGATCTTGGGAAAACATTTATTGTGAAAACATTTTATATTTCATTGTAACATCAAACTTTTTGTTCCATGGAAAAATATGGAGTGACTTTGTGTTCATATCGTCATGTTTTTTCTAATACTCAGAAAGCGTGTCCTAATACCCTGTCAATAACCTATTGTGTATCTGCGTTCATTGACAATGAGCTCTAATGAGCAGGTTATCCAGTCTGTAGTAGATGCTTTAAAAAAAAAGATAAAAAAATCAGCAACATTGCAATTCTGAAGCACCATACAAACTGGACACATGCCTGGCGGTTGTAGAACTGCCACTTGATTTCGTGCCCATCTATGCAAATGCTCTGTCTTCACTGAAGAAGGTTGACTTATCTTAGCTGTCAACTGAATTTTGAACATTCAAAAATATATGAAGAACTCATAAAAGAGCAGTTTGAGAGGTCGCTGCAGCATTTTGTGATGCCGACCTCTTCCTTATTTTTGTTTTTCCACTTCTGTTTTACCTTTCTGTGCCATCCTCTTTTTCCATCTGCAATTGTTATGCAGAAAACTCTTTCAACCACTTTGTAAATGAATGTCCTGTCCACTGTTAATGGGCCTTCAACAGATGTTTTCTGTTTGGTTGACAGAGATGGGGCAGAAACACAACAAAAGACTCAGTTCTAGGAGAAGGGTCACAGAAACTAAAAACAGACATTTATGGGAATGATTATTCAATTTTCCTCATGTTCCCTATGCATGCATGTCTTACGCACATGGCAAATTAGAGGTCATCTCTTTCATTTTAGTGCACGTCTAAGTGTGTGTGCCAACAATTTCTAGTTGTAAATCATCACAAATAACACTGTAACATATAGGACAAGGTGTTATAAATAGGATGTGTCAAACCATGCTCTGGCCAGCCTCTGGTTTCCCCGAAACCCTGTCTTTTCAGCCGCCGAGTGGCTCAGCTACTTTTTAATTTGGCCTTCCTGCGGGCTAACCGACTGACGCCTCTCGGTGAGCGCATCTGTATTTCAACACTGCCGCAAAATCCCCAATCCTTGGGCTCTGACACTCACAAAGCTCCAGCCTCTTTGAGCCTTTACTTTTTTTTGGGCCCTAACTGCAGCATCAACAAAAGAGAAAGACTGGCTCAGGCCAGAAATCAGTAGCCAACTTTCATCCATTGGAAAGCCAGAGGGCAGAATGCAGCCACCAGGAGGGCAGGGCTTGACCAAAACAGAGAGCAGAGGAGAACTAAAAGAAGGAGTGGAGCGTGGGTGAGTGAGGCTTTGAGAGCGGGAGGAAGCTCCCAGATAAACAGACCGCAGCGCCTCAATTCCTAATCACCCCGCGCTTCCGTTTCCAGACTCTATAATTAGAAGGGCCCCGTTCCTTTTTTCTCTGTATCCCCAGTTGACGCAAATGCTTCTTGTGGCTTGGCACCTCGTTTGGGGTGTGGGTTTGAAGAGTTTACAGGCCCTGGGCCTTAGTTCTTTGCCTTTCTGGTCGCTGTGATACAGCATGAAAAACTAACCACTGTCTCAGTCCACACTTTGCTTGGCTCCACTCAATAATATACATGACCCGACTGCTTATCCCTTCTATCTCACTCATTCCACCTCTGTATAATCTTTTCTCAAGAATTTCTCAAAAAAGAAAGCTTTTAACAGTTAATGAATGTGCTAAATTTATTAGACGTCTTAATATTTCTTCATGTTTAAGGGCGTTCCATTTCCCTTTCCATCTCCCTTGCACATGTTGCTGAATCCTTTTAATCTCTTGCCATTCCAGCCTCCTCTTTTCACTTTTGACGTGCCACCCAATAAATCCTGGCCACTAATTAAAACCTACTGCCGCTTCCACAAAATAGATTCCAAGTGGAACAACTCATAGGAAAAGGACAAATTATTTTAGTATTACTTGTGTCGTTGAGACCTCAGAATGACAGAGACTGGCCAGTTGTTAGGCTCCATCATTGATATGGTTTCTCCGTTCTGTTGAAAGCTTCTGACTCTGGGTTCGGGCTTGTGTCTGAGCTTCCTCTTTTCTGACCAAACCAGTTCAGATCTGGGTTTGTTCTGGTGTGGTTTGTTGAGCATGTTGTTTATGGTGAGGGCCTATACTTTCTGCAGTTTGACGAGCTTCAAATAAAATGGGGCTAAATGAATGGGCCTGTCAGTGTTGGTTACACTTGTGCTGCGCTGTGGTTCAGTGTTTTAGTGATTTCCAGTGTGCATGCACACAGCCATGGTGATCCTTAGATGAGTAGATGCTTGGATGCTCTCCTTCGCAGATACTTATCATCTTGTCTTCCCTTACAGGAACACACGACTTGAGCCCTGCACTTAACCAAACCGAGCTATCATGTGAGATAAAGCTGGCTTTTATGACAGGAACAAACGATAGCTGGTTTAATGGACTTGTTTGTTTGTTTTAAAGACACAACAATTCTGTCATACTGCCTAGCATCTGTCTTGCAGACTTAGTAGAGTTGGCCGACTTTGTGTGGTCCACCCCAGGGAGTAAAACTGAAATAATGTTTTACCTTACCACTTTTACAAGTCTGCTTAGTTTTTTTTTTTTCATTCGCTTTATAGCCTTTCTTGAATCATTTTTGTCATTTACAAAACAGTAAGTGCATTCTCAAAATAAATCATACAAACAACAAAAAAGCATGGATTACCCCCAAAATCCGTCTCCTTAGTTCTTTACTCAAAATTAAAAATCTGTCTTAATGAACGCGTCAGTGCTTCAGAATGTCAAGTCTTTGTTTCATATTGATTAGCTATGTCAGTATAGCTGTGCACTGTGGTGGGATATTGTTGGAAACTATAGCTAAAGTTTTGGTGACAAGAATTGTAAAATCTAATGGTGGGAGGCCAACCAAAGATGCTGGACAGAATTCACATGTAAGCTTTTACTGTAATTTGTTGACAGAATTCAGGGTTTCCCTCAGAAAACTTGCTAAGCCCAGTGGTTAGTGTATTACTGAGTAATCATGTTACTGGAACATAAATGAAAAGATTTTCAATTGTCCAACATTTAAATTTAAGATTTTAAGTAGTTGGCACGTTTACTTTGTAAAAGTTCAAAGTTAGATTGTTTTGCTTCCATAGCAACAATTTCATGCTCTCAGTTTAATATTTGAGTTTTAGCAGTTCATTAATGCATCTTAGTAAACTACAGTTATATTTGACCACTCGGTCAATTAAACTGAGGCACCCTCTCCCGGATTTCACTAAATTCACGGTGAAATGCTTTTAGTGGTGCTGATGTTTGGAGCAAGAGGGGCCCGGAAATCAAATTCTGGTCAAAGCCACATACAAGTGTGGACCGGTCCTGCACGATGAGCTAAATGCACTGCACAGTGCATCTCTGCTGCTGGATACAGAGGAACAAACGGGAGACAATATAGCTGAGCCAATTTGAGGGATCATGGCCAAAGTAAACTTCAGAGATGAATCCATGACAGTGCGCAAAGTGGCCAACATGCAGAGTCGCCAGCGATCTGATTGTTATAATACACTGGGGGAAACTCTGGAATACGCAACCGTGATACTGAAAGGAAAAGACAGAAATTCAGAGAACTGAAAAGAAAAAAAAATCAAAAATAGAAATGGAAGTATAGAACAATTTATTTAAGGAAAAACTGTGCATTTAGTGTGTAGGAACTCAGTGTAATCTGCTTATAATTTACATCTCCATGCTGAGAAAAATTCCTCACTAGAGTTCAGGAATGAAGAGTAGGATGAGAGGAACTCCATCAGCGTGTTGTCAGGTCACAAACCAAATCTTGATTATGTTGGAGTGATGGAATCTATCAATATGTCCTCACTGTCTTCTGCCTCTTCTGTCTTTCCTCCTAAAGCCTCCACAGCCTCACTCCTCTTCCTCTCGTCTCGCTGTCTGTTAACTCTGTCCAAATCGTTATCTTAGAGATTTGAAATAAATCCAGAATTTATACTGTGGCTTTCTTGTCTACATTTAAGGAAGTGCTTATGAAAATGTTGTCTTTATGCTTTTACATTAATTGTTTTAACACAAAGAATTTCTTTTTTTTAGGACATAAACTGTGTTCTAAAGAATATTCTTCATGCTGGTGCTGTTAGATTTTGTTGCAACCCTTACACATTTCACCTACAGACAAAATTGCAATGACACTTCTGGAGGTCAAACGCAGGCTGCCATTTTTTTTGTATGCCAAAAATTCTTGCTCTTGACAATATACCAGACAGAGAAATATTAACAATTCTACAAAACAGTAAAAAGCTTATCAGTTGTTGTGAGGTTCCTCGGGATTCCAACTCTTGATCAGAAACGACACGGTGCTTGGATCAGATACAGGAAGATACATTGCAGACAGCCAAAAGAATTATGTTGACACCAGTTAATGATTTGTAATGCTGTCACTGTGCTTGTTGTAGGAATGCTCCTGGTGACAGCCGACACGCTGGGCCATGACTTCCATGTCTTCAAGATCCTCACCCATCCTTGGGCTTCCTCTCAGAGTGCTGTTCACCATCTCTATACCCTGCATCGGGGGGAGACCGAGGCCAAGGTCTGACACACAAACACAGGCACAACTCTAATCATTAAATTCATGTTCTGAATCATTGATAAAACAGGAGCACGAGACTTTGACATGGGTGGTGGGTGTGTCGATGTGGGCGTGACGTCATCAAGTATGAATGGGAAGATCACTATCCTGCTGGCTTTGTGTGTGTTAGGAAGTGGTGAGCAGGGTAGTCAGTCCTTGCAAATTTTGGAGCAAGATAATCAAAATGGAATAAATCAATAATTTGACAGAACAAAGTTGATTGATACATGGACAGATGAGATTTCCCGAGTTAACCCAGAGCGGACATTTACCACCATTAGTTTGCTGTGTTTTATAATAATAAAAGATGTTTATTATTATTAATCAGTTTGGTGCAAAAAATTGATTGAAACTCGATTTAGTCACTACCTGTTAAGGTTGAGATGGAGCTTCACATGAAAACAATCATTCAGACAAAGACAAAGAGGTTTTAACATTCATGGAAACACCTTACATAACCTTGTATTAAAGCAGAAAGTACGGTGGCCACCAGAAGGAAGGCTTTCAGTAGTCAGTTATGCAGCATAAATGACCAGTACAGTTTTGTGAGGTAATGCAAAAGAAAAAAATGTCCCCATGTCCCCGAGGGGGGCTCCATAAAATCTCTTATTTAATTTAAAATAAGTCAAAAATAACTTTTAAACAAAACAAATAATTTTGTCTTAAGTGATATTATAAAAAAGTACTAGTTTCACTGGCAGATTTCTTTTGACTTCAAATGGAAAAAAATCCATCTTGTTATAAGAGAAAGAATCTGCCAGTGGAACATATTTTGTCTGTATTCAGAATCAATCACTTAAATCGTCGTTCACACGGAACAACTGTTTTGTCCAGATTTTCTCCTTTTTACAAACTTAAAACATTCACCATTCTAAGATTGTCGCTTGCGATAATTGTTACCGATCGTCCTGCCATGTGCAGTGTGTTTAGACTGATCGGATCCAGTCAGTAGAAAGCCAGCACCACTCTGATCTAAAGTCGGGAATATTCAGCATGTTGGATGTCTTGGATTATTGCAACATGTGTGGTGTTACCCGGCTAAGAGCGAGAACGAAACCCATTGAATGTGACAGGTAGCCAACCAGGTGCTTATATCACAACGTGGTGATAGAAGAGGGGAATCTCAACCAAAAAGCAGCTCACATATCTACTGAGAGTCCGGTGAATTTGTAGAACAACTTGAATGTTTATTCAAACATTTCATAAAAGGAATAGCCAGAAAAATTATATGATGTGGGTTTTAAAGGATTTTCTGTCTGAGGCCTGAATGTTTGTGAGTGAAATGGTGTGGTGTGTTGGTCCTGCCATGTGGTTGGGTACCACACACGGTACGATCCAACCCGTTATACCTATGATTTTTTATCAGCTCTTGTGTGGTCTCAGGTTTTGAAAATCGACCGACAATCCTAAAATCATAATGTTTGAACTAGGCGTAGGATAAGCCTGTATGTCTCGTTGAAAAGGCTCGTGGTCTTCTACCTTTAAGTTCTTTTTGTCTTCTTTCAAGCGCACTAAGATTTTTTCACTTTTGCAGTGAGTGCATCGTCATCTTACAGACTTTTCAGTATTTGCCTGACCTGTTAAAATCTAACCAGTTATTTTTCAGAAATCAATCAGATATAGTTTATTTGTTTAGCACATTTCAGCAACAAAGGCAGGTTTGAATCTTAAACTGACAAATACTGATATTGGCCAGTCCTGTACACCTGTATGAACTGGTGCACATCTATATATCATCTAATATTGTGACTATTGACTCTTTAATCTACTTTAATCTCTCACTTTAAAGTTTTTTAATAGGTATGTTGCCTATTCCTAAAATAATTACATAGTATGTTAAAAATATATATTCTAAGATGTGTTAGTGTGTCTAAATCAGAAGTAGGAAACACATCATCACATTTGACATTATGGTAACATGCTACAAAGTTGTGTAATATAATTTATTTAGATACATTCAAAAAGACAAATATTTGCCATCACAGCATTGAGCATCAGAACCATTCAGAGTTTGTGTTAAAAAGGTCAGAAAAACTCGACACCCTTTGGCTCTTTTTACATGATGGTTGGGAGATTGAATTAGATTCTTGACCTTTTTGTCATCTGTTGTACACATCATTGACCAAGTTCATATCTAAACACTTTCTTTGTAATATTCCTACTGCATTTTGGCTAAGCAGTTACATGACTGGTTATATATTAGAAATGTCACTTTTGGAGGTCTTATAGACGTGGAGCTTGTTGGAGCCTTTCCCTGCTGTGCAACAACAAGTCTGGTCAGAAGGGGTTTTGTGTGAGAGATCGGGGAACATTTGATTACATCTGAGGTAGGACGGATGTGGCTGACTGGGATTTGCCCAAAGACAACCTCTTACTAGTGTGTGGAAAGTAAAGTGAACACAAGAACTATTGGTGGAAACTGTTTGTATTAAACACCAGAACCTTCGTGTAATTCAGTCTTTCAAGATAATAACTAATAATAACTCTTTCTCCACATGTAAATGCTTACTCCATTCACAACACCACACCTCAGCATTCTAGACTTCTGAACAGTTTTGAAAATTAACATGAACGCTATCTTAAAAGTAGAAATTGATTATCTTGTTCAAAGAAAAGATTTTTCCATGCAACGGTTTCACTCATGGCGTGCAAAGACTTTCCAAAATAAGGTAAAGACACTTGCTCAACAAAACTGCTTCAGGCCTTGTTCGGTTCAGTATTATTGACTGGGAAAACACACAATCACACACCACCTCTCACAGGCTGCCTGCAGTTCGGTCCGCTGACCGACTGCACAGTGAGACCGCTTTGATCTGACCTGCTGTAAACATTGAATGCCAAGCTGCAGCCCAGTGCCGAGGCCAGGGGTTATCACTGCAAGCTCACTTACACGCACGCAAACACACAGCCGCACTGCGAAGCACAGTGGAGAGTGATAAAGTCTTCAGTTAGGTGGGTGGAGAGACGCCTTATCTGTCTCCAGCAACCAAACATGCGACCGGCTGCCAGTGACCTGAGGCCAGGTAAACAGACCTGCTGCTGATAACAACTGTAAAGAGGCCAAAGCGGAGTGGAGTGTGGACGGGCATGGGGGCCAACCAGAGCGCCCTCATCCTGGAGGTAATAGATCAGCTCCTTTACTCTAGATATCACTGTCCTGCAACATCAGTTGGGAGTTTAGTAGCATGACTAAACTCGGAAGTACATTACTACCAGGAATGCATGTCCACCTTTTTGAAGCTATATTTCTTCAGCTCACTATTTTGCATTAAGAAATGTCATCAGTTGTCTAGCATTTGTATAAAATCATGGGCATTGTGGCTAATAAAAGTAAAATCTGCTTTCTATAAATAATTGGATTTTTTTTAACCCACATTTTTCCAGCTGCTAACCATTCATTATTCTTCAAAAACACATTGATACAATGACATGACGTGTTGGGTGTCTTTATGTTACTGCTTCTCACAGATTTAGGCTAACTACCAAACATGCTAGATAGTTTGATATGAACAGTTCTGCATGCACACTCAAGGTGTCACCAATATAAAGTTCCATTTATTATTAGCAGTACTGATAAAGACATAACATTCATAAAAGTTTATAAAAAATCATTATTAATTTTGTTGTCTTTCTGACACTGATCCTTTTTATTGAAGTCCAATAGTGTTGCCACATTGTTCGCTTGTGAGGGGATTAGACGTCTGCAATGCTTTAGTAATGGAGTGCTGTGGGCCTGCCAGGGTCAATACTCAAGGGGAACAACTCAAGAACTGCTTTCTTTCTTACATTCTCTAAAATAAGAGTCCAGCATTTGTCTGCAAGTGGGTGGTAATGCCTTACTTTTATTTCATCAAATAAAGGTACATGCTGACGGAAACTCTGTGCCACTTTGAAAGATAAACTTTGCTTGGACAATAAATTTTATGATACTTTAACATTGTGTGAGATCTTGTGACATGAGATATAGTTTCTCCACTTCTTGTTTCTGGGGATCACACTCAGTGTCTTTGATTCATTTTACTTGTATTTATACCCGTGACACACATTTTATATCTCCCAGCTTTTTGCAAATCCAACCATTATACATCAGCCCATTATTGGTCTGCGTGTGGACTAAATCAGAGCATTCCTTTTTTTGGCTTGGCAGTATTTTGTTAGTGAGTGAACATTTAAAGTACTGGGTTAAATAACTGAGTTGAATATCAAATTCAACTCAGTTCTTCCAGTTTTTATGTTTCACTTTTTAAAGTCGTAAAGATTACATTTATAACAATTAGGTAAAGATAACTTTTTGAGTTTTGTAGGATTCAAAGTCTTGAACCGTGAGTTGAACTTCTTGTAGTTTGGTAACCATGTTTGTCTTTAATAATAATTTGACTCATTGACTATATTTCTGTTTTCATCTTTGCCACATTCCCATCATTCCTGAAAAGTTTCTTTCTGGTGAACAGGGACTCGTAGTCTCGCTAACAATTGTCACTGATTTTACAGAGGATAGGCACAAGCATTAGTCCTATCATATTGACATCCTTCTGTCTGTCACGGATGTCATCGAGTGTGCTGTGTAAAGAACTGGAGCGAGACCTTTCCAGCATCTCAGGAATGTACAAATCAACACCTCTGCATCATATGACTTAGAAACAGTTGGATTCCATCTATGAAAGATAACCTTCACCAACTCTTTTACTTCTATGGTTTCAATATGGAATCACAGCCACCTTTCAGGTTCTCTACCTGATCAGAATGCATTTGACAGTAGAAATTTAGTCACCTCTTTATAGCTGAAGCTTAGACAGGTCTGTTATGGTCAATTATGACACACACAAAGTAGCTCTTTATTATGTCTGAGTCGTCCCTAATGGGGACAGCACAGGTGAGGCCTCCTCTTTCATTCGTCTCTGTGAAGTAAAGTATCTGTCTGGTATGCAAAGGATGCCCCATTAACTGTCATTGCTGGGGCCAATTACCCTGTAGGACCTGGCAGAAGATTAAAAGGCCACCAGGTACAGAGCTGTCTCTCTGACTCGCTCTCAGCAGTTGGACATTCCTCATAGAAACTTTCTCATGAACCTTTTACATTCATTTTATCCCTGTTGTATGCTGATTGATAAATGTAGCTTGAGTGAAAACCACTAACCAGTCTGTCACCCAAGTCTTTAGCTCTTGGTCTTTTCTCATTTACTCTTCCCTTGGCTTGTATTGTCCCTTGCAGCCTATCTGTCTGGTTTCCTGCATGTTTAACATGCTCGATGAGATCCTATCTTGTCAAGTGTCTGCTCTTGAGTGTTTAAGGAGGAGGCCTAACAAAGGGCGCCATTACAGCTTTTGTTTTTGTCTGAGTCATTTATTTTACCACCAAACAGCCTCAAATCAGATTGTCACCTTTAGAAAATTGTCATTGCCTAATCCTCTCACCCTGTTCCATGCTGTCATGCACCTCTAGCAGATGTGTTTATCTGTGTGGTAAACATTTCAGCCTGGTCACATTAATGTTTGCTGGAGTTTCAGGCTGTTTACCTCTGCTCTGCATATTTCTGTGGTGAAGAAAATGACACAGAGAGGCTTTTAAACACATGCATGCGAACATGTCTGCTCAGCAAAGCATGCATGCTCACTATATAAAGCGCATGGTAGCTTACTAGCATTGTTTGTACATAACTTGTGGAAAATCAGATGCCCATTTGTTCACCGTTTCCTCTCTTAAAAATTACTTTGCGCTTTAAAAACACGTCAATATCTGTTACTCAACAATTCGATTAGCACGTGCCCAAACACATCCTGTCGTTAGTATTTTTGCTCTCACACAATGTTGGAACTGGGCCACATTTCCTGATTATCTTCAGTTTGAGAGGTTAAGCCCTGATGTAAACTCACTGCTTTAAACAGGACTTCAGCATTCACTGATTAGGGCTCACCACTGTTTTACATCAGCAATGAAGAAAAGTCTGTTTTAAGTTCTTGTCTTAAACTGTGCTCTTTGTTAAGGGTCTTCATTATGGTCTGAAAATATCTTACTTTATCTAGTGTATTGGTTTGTACTTATTGACCCAATAGAAATGATTCTGAGAACTGGTGATGCAACAAACCGAATTCTGTCCTTCCTGCTTTAGCCATCATTTATCATTTATATTAGGAACAGAGGTGATGTCACACTGTGTGAAAATATAATTACTTCTCACACAGGATTTTCTTATTATTTTAAAACTAAATGATTTCAGAGTGGACCTTGTGTATGCAATGCTCACACCCTTCCTCTCTGCTATGCTACAGCTCCTTCCCCACACTGCAGCTTGTTGTGAATGCTCAGGCTGTGGTCAACTGACAGCCCATAAGCAATTTTCCTGGAACAATAAGTTGTTGCTCCACTATTAACACATTGAACACTATGTACAGGAGCCTGATTGACAGCACCAAGATCCTGCTACAGGCTCTGATTGATTGTGTCTGACCGGGAATAATGTATTTCTGCAGATGGCATCAGGACCACAGGGAGAAGGCAGAGCAGCTTTATTTTTGTCTCAGATCATCAAAACATGTTTTTTTACATATTTGTAAAAAAAAAAAAAAACTACTATGTAGTTACATACTGTAGAAGTTACATATACAGTAGAAGTTAGAACCTGAATAAATGGAATAAATGCAGCTAATGAACATTTCGGACTAAATGGAGAAAAGTCTGATTGTAACAGAAAGTGAGTCTTTCGAGATAAATTTTTGCAAAAATTTAACTGCACTCTTTTTGTAAAAGTAGAATAATTTTTTTTTTGAAGTGACAAAGTTTTATATTTTCCAGTCATTGTCTATTGACTTCAGTCTGTTTTTTCTTCTTTCTCCTTTTCTTTCTTTGTCTCTGTCCTGTTCCTGCACTGGGTCTGTCTGCTCAGGTCCAAGACATGTGCTTTAGTCAGGACAGTCGCTGGGTAGCCATCAGCACACTTCGAGGCACCAGCCACGTGTTTCCAATCAACCCTTATGGTGGCGCACCCTGTGCCCGGACCCACATGTCCCCGCGGGTGGTGAACCGGATGTCACGCTTCCAAAAAAGCGCCGGCCTGGAGGAGATCGAGCAAGAGCTGAACAGGGCGGCTGCTGTTGGTGGAGGAGGAGCTGGAGGCATGGGAGGAAGCAGCTGCATTCTGGGTGGAGGAGGTGGCATGGCCGGCCGCTGCAGTCCCATACCTGGCATGTCCAGCAGCCCCTCTGGGTCTCCACTGCATGGTAAGGCACAGGGCAGGGTGGTGAATGTGTGGGCATCGCTTCTTCTGTTTACAGCATCAAACCATTGAAACTTCAACATTCTGTAACTCTGCTGCATCTCCTTTGTGTGAATGCTCAGATACATATTCAGATATATACTGATACATACTACATCAAGAAAAACCTGAATGAATCGGCCCTTTCATATGAATGTCAAAGAGCAATGTTTCCCTAAAACCTGATACTGAAATATTTCACTTAGAAATACTTTGTAGGTAAGGAAAATCATCTTTCTATGCTACCATAAAACACATTTGCGTGTGTGTCTTTCCAGTTACTGATCATGACAGTAGCTCTTTTCCAGGGACTCCGCCCTGCCTTTCTGGACCTTGTCTAGCTTGTTTGTCAAACACCATTGCAGGCTGCTCACACTGTCTCTGTGTACCAAGTCATAGCAGATACACACTGATACACGCATACCTTGTGCCAACTGCACTGCTTGACCCAGAGGTGTTACTCAGTGTAAAATATCACAGTTCTCATCAGTGATTGGCTTCCAGGAATAACCCTGAGCTTTGATAGCTTTGCTGTGGCCGGGGTCATGCTGGGAACCTGGTAAACATTTCAAAGAACAGAATGACTGCTAACTGACAAGTGAAGTAGTTTACATAACAGAATGTATTTTATGTCTTATTTTGTAACCTGATTTTATGAAGCTGGTTTTAGCTAACAGTGGAAATCATCTTTCAATCTCTTCAACTGTTTCAGTTGTAGATGAAACTGGTGGCTCTGAGGAAAGTGGGGCTGGCAGGGGATGTTCCCCCAGACTGACATTAACCCTAGAGATATTGTTGTCATCCAGTCCTTAGAAATATGATTCTTACCATTTAACTCTCTAAAACAATTTTAATGTTCAATGAGCTTGTCAATTATTTGAAAAAGTAAAACGTATTTACCCACAATGCATTTTTTTTTTTTTTTATTTTATTTTTTTGTCAACATTCAATTTTATTAAATATCTTAAGATGTTTAGAGTAACATGATAAAGTGCAAAACCTTCACAATAAATTTCAATATCACAAAATATATATACATATGTTTATCAAAGTAAATCAATACAAACATTTTAACTTTTGTGTAGTGTTATTATACACACAGATACAAATTTTGAATCGATGCCTTTCATTAACATAGATATCTGTTATTTTAATGATTATTCCTAACAGCCAATCAATACCTAAAGGTTATTTCTCAAATACTCAACAGGGAACTGAAGCCACAATTGGTTATTACTAAAAACTTGGATGCTGATGGAGTGCTGTATCTAAGCACATTAAGGGGAAGTTAAGTAGATGGGAAGATTATGTTACAACATGTTACACAATACAACAGGGATAACCACAACCTCCATGCTCAGAAAACTGTGAAGACCATTCAGGATTGTGAGGGGGATTCACAAGTTTCTCTTCTCCATGGTCTAGTTTCACTTCAGCCATGTATGTCTGGTTCTGTTCTAGCCAAGATGGGTGTTCATTGGCATCTTCATTGGCAGCATTTTCCTGTGCAAGGGCATATTTACGGTCTGATGTCATTTTGAGTGTTGTACCCTTGGGTGTCTTGGGAGTGTACTGCAGCTGGAGTCAATGTTGGAATAGCCAATACACATAGTGTGTTCAGGAAATGAACTAAAACTGTCATATTCCTTGTGTTTAAACTTCTCCTTTACAAGAGACACAATCAGTGCCTTACCTGAGCTAAGGGAGCTAAGGAGACAGTACTAGACTTCAGCTTAGTCGTCCTATGTGCACTCTTTAGATAAAAGTATATTTCAGATTTCATTTAAAACATAAATGTCCCAAATCTGAAGAAAGAGTGGGAAGTTAGAGAATCTAAGTTATTGGAGGGCCAGTGCCTAGTTTCCATAGTCTGTGATGATTTGGAGGGAGCCATGTCACAGGCTGGTTTTAGTCCATCAGGTTTTATCAGATCCAATGTTGCCACAACAGCCTATATAGAAATAAAAAGAAAGAATTTCATGGTCCTTCTGCTGCAGAGCTTTGTAGAAATGATTTCATTTTCCAGCAGGACTTGGTAAAGTACCTACTTTAATGACCATGGTGCTATTGTGCTGGCTTGACCAGTAAACTGCTTTAGTGGTCAATCCAGTAACTCTTTTGAGAGTTCATGGAGTATTGTCAAGAGGAAGATGAGACAGTAGACTCAACAAGGCCGATGACCTGAAGGTAGATATCAAAGCAACCTGGGCTTCCAGAACCTCAACAGAACCACAAATGTATCATCTCCATTCCACAATTCATGCAAGAAGAGGCCCAACCAAATAGAGTACATATACTGAATAGTACATGGATATGCAGTAGGAACACATTTCTGTTTATTTTTGTTTATTTTGCATTTTATTACAACATTCAGAGTTATTTTGCAAGTTTTTCTAAAGAGTATAATTACTGATCTATAAGCTGGAATTTTAATGTGGTTTACTTTATGGTTTCCTACCAGTTTGAATTTGACTACACAGATGTGGAATGATTGTCTTCAGTCTATTTAAAATCATTGTAATATACTTTGTTTGAACAGCTTCTCCTACAGTCTGTTTTCTCTTCTCTAACTGGGACTAAAGTCTGGAACAACAGATGCTGGTTGATGATTTTCATATGCGTATCACAGATCTCACAGCTTTATGCTTCAAACATTCACATCCCAACACTTCCACTGACAGACTGTGTCCTAGCTTCCTCTTTTCCTTCTTGTCTTTCTTGTGATGACTCAGACCTCTTTTTAACCTCCATACCAAACTACTCACATTCCTCCAAATTGAGGAATAGACCATCAAACATTAAAGGATCTCTTTGGACACTTGGTTTTGCTGGGATGAGAGACTGAGTGGCATGGGAACATCAAAGTGGAGGGCAAAGCGGGGCACCAGGTGAAAGTGAACATGCAAAATAATGAGGTGTAACTGAGGGAAAACAAGAGATGGGGTACACAGGTGGGGGTTGGGGTACAGGCACAGAGAAGGAAAGATAAGTTTGTAGTAGCAGCACTGAAAGCCAGGGTCTTGGGGAGCCTGCTCATAAATCACACTTTTGTTTCAAAGGAAGGCATTAAGGCCACCTGTCAACAATTAGTCTTCACAGTGACACTAAACTGAGTGCGTGCGTGTGCATGTGTGTGTGTGTGTGTATGTGTGCATATTTGAAGAATATAAACTGTCTACTACACTGATCATTTATACGGTGAGGTGTTCAACAGTAGTCAATGTTTTCATAGCTGGAAAATTTTATTTGGTAAAATAAAATTTAGTAAAATTTTATTTTACATCTACAAATCAGATGTGAATTTTTGAAGATCAATGATCTTTTTGCACAGCAGTTTTTAAACTGCAGTTGTCATGTTTTGATTCTTTTATCAGTATCCTACGAGAGACTCAGGAATGTTTTTTAGCCAGAAATACTTTTAATGAAATCTCCAAGATCTGACCAACGCTCATATCTGTAGAATTTAGTACATCACTCTCAGCTCACAAGTGAGATTGGAGTCACAAAGTTTCATCTGTTGTGTGTTTCCGGTAATCTGAAGTTAAATTATCGCCATTGTTTCATGGCATGCCTGCTGTCTCTTATGTCAGCAAGGCCAATGGTGTTGATAAAAACACCATAATTCGTCCACTTTTCATCAGACGTAAACAAAGAGTCACTTTTGCTGTTGTGTCCACTTTCCTTCTGTTTTTGTGAGCCGGGTGTGAAATTCTGGGCAGCTGAGGTGGTTTTCCGCCAGCCTGGCAGAGAGCGGCGGGGTGAGGCAAGCCGGGGCCGGGCCACCTAGCCACAACAGCTGCACTGTGATTGTCGCCAACAAGGCCAGCGTTGATTTTTGGGAAGGAACTGTAGAAAAGTACACATCCTCCTCAAAGCTGCCAGTCCGAGCAAGCGGCAGACCTATAAATAGAGGCTGCAATTGGCTGTCTTCTTGTCACTGTTAAAATCTGGAAGGGCTATTTGTGTCCCTGGATCCAGTTTCTCGGCCCCGTGGTTTTTTTCCCCCCCAAAGCCTTCCTTTTGTGTGATGGATGTATTGTTTTTTGAGGTGATGACCCATTATGTGAGCGTCCCACGCTATAAAGCTCGGTTTGTTGGAGAGCCAGCATATATGAGCCCAGATTAGTGAGTGCAGGTTGGTGGCTCAGGACAGAGGTTATTGAGGTTGTAGCAGGAGCCGCCATTGTTGCTTTCATGTTCAGACGAACTTCATATTTAGCTACCGCATTGTATAGTACTGTAAGTCCTAAATACAGTTTGGATCAAAGCGATTCATATTTCAATTGAAAACTGTCTTCGTTTTACCCAGAGGTTGGTTCCTGACAGAGAAGCAGACAGGTTCCTCTCATAATCTGGTGAACAGGGTCTCTCAGTGGCTCAGGTGTAGAGGCTGTAGTCCTCCACACGGGGGTTCGATTCCCAGACTGGGGCCATTTGCTTGATGTCTTACTGTACTATCTACTTCCTGTCTAATTACAGTTGAAGAAACAAGTAGTAAGCTATTTAAAAGGTTCTATGTTTATTAAAAAAAAACATTTTAATAAGCATACTAAACATGAAAATAAAACATTTTATGTTTTAAAAAGAAGCAATAATAATTTACATCCTTCCGAAGCATTTTGCATGCTTTGGCTGGTATTTTAATAATTAATTATTGTTGATGGGCTCTAAGGCTATGAGACTAGAAAGTCTTCTCGCTAATACCCTAACCTTTAACTCCTCCATATATTCAGAATGCAAACAGTACTTGTCACAAGAAACAACTTGGTCAAATGAAATGGGTTTTGTAAACCTGCCAGAGGTTTAGATCAGATAAGTAATTTGGGGTTTCCTTACAGTTCAACTGTTTTGAAATATTTTCATTATGGAAGCTAAACTGGTCACTTTTATTAAGGTAAAGCTGTTTTCAATGCTCATATAGACAAAATAAAGGCAGCTTTTTCACCAAAGCAGACAGTGACTGAT